TTGCTTTGCTGCTTGCTTGCTGCTTGCTTGCTGCTCCTTGCTGCTGCCTGCTGCTGCTGTTGCTGCTGCTGTTGCTGCTGTTGCTGCTGCCTCCTGCTGCTGTTGCTGCTGTCTCCTGCTGCTGCTGCGGCTGCGGCTTCCTTCTGCTGCTGCTGCTGCCTCCTGCTGCTGCCTCCTGCTGCTTCCGCCTGCTGCTGCTGCTTCCTGCCTGCTGCTGCTGCTGCTGCCTCTGCTGCTGCTGCTGCTGCTGCTGCTGCTTCCGCCTGCTGCTGCTGCCTCCTGCTGCTGCTGCTGCTTGCTGCTGCTGCTGCCTCCTGCTGCTGCTTCCTCCTCCTCCTCCTGCTGCTGCTGCTTCCTCCTGCTGCTGCTGCCGCTGGTGCAAACATTTTGCCGAAAAAGAAAATTACAGTCTCGGTCGCCTTGTTTGGCGCTGGCGGGAGATACGGGCGGGAGACGCCAGCAGAGAGAGGGAATGTTTACAGAAGGCAGAACTTATGAAACATTCAAGCGGAAGCGGATGTTGACAGCGGTGTGCCACTGGGTTTTCAGATTTTAACGTTGTTGATATGATGATGTTGCCCATAGCTATTACATGGAAATCTATGTTTGTTAGGAAACAAAGTTAAAGATCTGGGAGGCCGTGTGCCATGGTGATTCCTAAATATATCCTTTGAAAACATAGTTTAAACATATGTGAATACCTCAGTGTGCGCAATGTTTTCTTCATTTATGGAGATATAACAACATTCCTTGAAAGCCGGTGTGCCATTGGGATTTTGATATTTTGATGTGACTTCTGCCCAACTGATGTGACTTAAACCCTTCGCTAGTAGAATGCCAGAAAGAATGTCAGAAAGAATGTCAGAAGATATGCCAGATAGAATGTCAGAAGATATGCCAGATAGAATGCCAGAAAGAATGTCAGAAGATATGCCAGATAGAATGGCAGAAGATATGCCAAATAGAGTGTCAGATATAGAACGCCAGATACAACAGCGAGGAGGAGGAAGTGGAGGAGAGGACAACCCTGATGAAATCTAGAGACCGTTGTCCTCTCCTCCTCTTCCCTGCCAGAAAGTTTTGCCAGAAAGAATGTCAGAATATATATATATATATATATCACACTATAGGCCAAATAAAGTGTCATGGTGGGGATCACTCGAAGGAAGTATTTTTTCTTATTATGTTTTCGAGGATGTGTGGGTCACCTCTTACCAGTTGCCCATTGTGAAGTCTATGACGGGGCAGGTGGCCCTACGTGAGACGAGCCGCGTTGGCCTGGCAGATTTCCTTGCCCAATCTATGGCTGTGGAGTTTGATGTGCTCATCTTGGATGCTGAGCGCGAGCTCGAGCTATATATCAGAGGAAGGTGGCCAATTTGAAGAAGAGAAAGCAGGAGATCTTGGGCAAGGAGCCGAAGGTGGCCAAGCAGACCCATGATTCCGTGCCATCCGATCCGCCAGTCTGATGCTGCTGGGCGAATGAAGTTTTTTTTTGGATTGTGCTGACCCCACTGTTGCTTTTCATTTTTTTTGGGTGTTGGTGGTCAGCCTTCCAAGGTATGTGATTTGAGGAATGGTTTGCTTCAAGTTGCGATTTTGGAGTAGTGAATTGATGGGTTCAATGGGCTCATCTTTGATTGACGGGTTCATTTTTGTTTTGGCTTTTGTTAACTTGAGATGAAAGATATGGTTAATCGGTTTCAGGTTGAAAGCAGTGTAACCTTTAAAGTCTGCGCAGAGGCGTTGATCAAGAAAACGCAAGAGTTGTTCCAACAAACCATCTTGTAGAAGACAAGATTTGTCAAGTTTGACCATTGGTGGTCTTTGCGGTTTCCCCCACACCTGTGTGATGTCTGAGTCTAGGTCATTTCTTTTTGTCGCCGCAAAAGAACTCACCGCTGTGGCAGCTGTGCTTGGTCAGGCCGCTCAAGCTTGAGCCTCGTGAGGCGCATCTCCTGTTCTGAGGCCTCAGGCCTGGGCTGGCAGGAACGTGCATCTGCCTTTCTACCTTTTGCAAGCCACCTCGCTCGGAGGTTTGGCATTTTTGATGAGAGGAGGGCCTGCGTTCCATTGACATTCTAGCATTAGAGCGGTGCTTCATCGCATTCAAACAGTGGTGCTCGTACGAGTTGTACTTTTACAAGTGTCGCGTGATGTTTTGGTGCAGCTCATGGCCAGCAGCGTGATGATAAGCAAGGGGCTGCGTGAATTTTTGGTGGAGAGAAGGCATTCTGTGCCTGTGAGTGCCCAGGGAGAGCCCCAAGCTACGGGAGATGAAGAAGAAGACGAAGAAGAATTTCACTTGGACCCATGTAGCGCAAATGCTCTCCTTCCGGCTCTGCCCAACTTTAATGCACCAGGTCAGGAGATGGGTCTGCGTATGCTCCTGGAAGCGCGTGCCGATCCGCAATGCACGGAGGACGTGCCGGACGAATCCGAAGTGGTAGAAGACAAGGACGATTGCCATGAGTCAGAGTTTTCAGAGCTTGGGGAAAACAGATTTCAGAAGTGTTGCTACAATGGACTTTCCTTTCAGTTGCCTTGCGACAATGACCCCTTTTTGCAGAAGCTGATGTCCAATGTTGCTGCTGCCAAGGCAGCTTAATCGCTGCAGGGTTTCAGGGCACATTTTTTTCTTTTGACTCGGGTGCCTTGATGGTGGTGATTTAGGCAATGCTTGGGGATGCATACTATAAGATGGACCTTGGAACTTAGCAGAACTTATAAACTTATAACCCTTTGTAAGTTCTTGTCCTTAAAACTTACAAGAACTTACAAGACAATATAAACACCAGCACAGCCAGGAAGAAGCTTAGACAGGGAGAAAGTCAGAAGAGAGAAGATAAGACAGGGAGAAGATCAGAAAGGGAGAAAGTCAGAAGAGAGAAGATGCAGGTACGCGACAAGGTAGGAAAGTCGTGAAACACTGTGTTTTTCCAATGTTTTGTGGCTCCGGAGGGTCGAAAAGTTGAGAGATGAAAAATTGCACGCCGTTGTGGCGCGAAGCACATTTGGAAGTGAAAAGTGTCAAAACACACCATGTTCGGACCACGTTTGGAAGTTGAGATGTTGAAAAAGTGCACGCCGTTGTGGTGCGAAGCACATTGGAAGTGAGAAGTGACAAAACACACCATTCTCGGAGCACTTTTGGACGTCTGAGGGTCAAAGGCATGTGGCCGCGGTACGCGATCCACCAGAGAGAGGAACAAAAGTGTGCTTTGATTATTTGGGCCTGTCAGAATTCATGTCCAAATGTTGTAACCCGTTTTGTACGTTTTTACTTCGAAATGTGCTTCGCACCACAACGGCGTGCACTTTTTCGATATTGCAACTTCTAAAAGTGGTCCGAACATGGTGTGCTTTGTACATTTTGACTTGGAAATGTGCTTCATGCCACAACTGCGTGCACTTTTTGGACATCTCAACTTCCAAAAGTGCTCCGAATGTCAGGTGTTTTTGGTTTTTTCCCTTGCAATTTTTCTTCGCGCCACAACGGCGTGCAACTTTTCATCTCTCATCTCCCCCCGCACCTGCCGCTTTAGCGAGCCTACTTTTCGACCTTCCGCACACATCATTGGAACAACACAATGAATCGCGACTTTTCTTCCTTTTCGCGCACCTGCATCTTCTTTCTTCTCACTCTTTATCTTCTCTGATCTTTCCTCTTTTGCTCTTCTCCTCTCTGACTCTTCCCACCTCTGCTTGTCCATCTGTCCATATTGTCGGAAGTTAGACTTCTAAACTTCCTTCGGAAGTTAGACTTCTAAACTTACTTCGATGATTAAGAATCGGGGTTCTCAATAGGTTTCAGATGGATTGAGACTTTCAGGGTTGATGGTTGGTATCTCGAAGGCCCGATGTACTTTTCAACGGACTTGATCACAAAAGATGGATGTTGAACGGTATTTACAGCAACCCTAAATAACACCCCCGAAAAGACAGAAAAAGTAACCCACCAGGATTTTAGGATATTTAGGTGGGAGGTTACTAGTTTCTATTTTTTTGGACGCTATATAACTATAACCTACTATAACTATCCTTAACCAACAGGTTTTAATCCACTTCGGCGTCCAGGGCGTGGATTTCATGCATCAAAATCGATGCCTTCATCGAGATCTTAAAGAGGAGCCGCCAGCTTCGGGATGATGATCCGACTTGACGATTTGATATACACACTGACATGACGACTTAGATGATGAAAATGTGTATATTAAAATGTATATTATCTATAATATATTTAATATACGATAATATATGTGTATATTAGGATAAACTATATTAGTTCATCGTTTTTTTCAGGATGAGTAATTGTAAACACATGGATTAAAAATCAATCTTGACAAAAAATAACTCACAATTATCATTAATTACCTGTAATATCCTGTAATCCCAATCAGTCAGAGTTTCCAACTTTTGACGCTAGGAGAACATGCTGCTGACAGCAGATGACGAGGCGCAACCTTGACCACGTCAGGCCATTTTCCTTCATTATTTCAGTTTCATTTTAAATTTGAGAGACTATGGACCATTTAGTTTCATGTTGGCTAGTCTGTTTTCATCTACTTGCCATTCTATTCATTCACATGGCATTAGTTTGAGGTGTTCTTAGTAGTGAAACATTCCTTTTTTTCCCTTAATTATGCCATCTGGGGGTTACCGACATGTTACGACAGATGCAATCAGCAGCATCTGGTTTATCTGGTTAATCTAGCTTAGTTGTCATGGTCAAGACGAGGGATACAACCGACAAACTTGGGACATCAAAAAATCTGAAGATACAATGTCAACAAGCCTTGGGATGTGAGCGGCAAATTGGGAATGTAACCAATGGAACTGAGAAAGTAGCATCAAATCGATTCCAAACGATGCACGTGGCTCGAGGCTGACACTTGATCCAAAAAAAAGACGGCCAAAACCCACCTTTGCTCACTTTTTTTCGCCAAAAAAGAAAAATCAAAAGACGACAAAAATCACCGCACGTCTGCCATGTGCTGATCGCCACGGGATTCTGCCAGAGCTGAATCCGGCCGCCATGTCGATGATCACTGCAAACCGATTTGGAGAGGTGCCCGATGCCAGACCTGCTTTTGGAACGGTCATATATAGAATTTAATGCCATATTCATATAATGCCATATAGTGCCATATTCATATAATGCCATATTCATACAATGCCATATGATGCCATATTTATTTAATGCCGTATAATGCCATATTCATATAATGCCATATAATGCCATATTCATATAATGCCATATAGTGCCATTTTCATATAATGCGCTATAATGCCATATTCATATAATGCCATATTCATACAATGCCATATGATGCCATATTCATAGAATGCCGTATAATGCCATATTCATATAATGCCATATAATGCCATATTCATATAATGCCATATAATGCCATATAGTGCCATTTTCATATAATGCGATATAATGCCATATTCATAGAATGCCATATTCATACAATGCCATATGATGCCATATTCATTTAATGCCGTATAATGCCATATTCATATAATCCCATATAATGCCATATTCATAGAATGCCATATAATGCCATATAGTGCCATTTCCTTATAATGCGATATAATGCCATATTCATATAATGCCATATAATGCCATATTCATATATTGCCATACAATGCCATATTCATATAATGCCATATTCATACAATGCCAAATAATGCCATATTCATTTAATGCCGTATAATGCCATATTCATATAATGCCATATAATGCCATATTCATACAATGCCATATAATGCCATACAGTGCCATATTCATATAATGCCGTATAGTGCCATATTCATATAATGCCATATAATGCCATATTCATATATTGCCATACAATGCCATATTCATATATTGCCATATAATGACATATTCATATAATGCCATATAATGCCATATAATGCCATATTCATATTTATAATGCAAAGTAATGCCACATTCATATAATGCCATATAATGCCATATAGTGCCATATTCATATAATGCCAACTAATGCCATATTCATAGAATGCGATATAATGCCATATTCAAATAATGCCATATAGTGCCATATTCATATAATGTCATATAATGCCATATGATGCCGTATGATGCCATATGATGCCGTATGATGCCATAGGATGCCATAGGATGCCATAGGATGCCATATGATGCCATATGTCAAGTCACAAGTTTCAGTACATTTTGTGTTTGTGTGTGAAAATAAGGGAATACCATGGATTTCATGGCTAGAGGTCGGGCGTCTCGAAGGTTCCTTGTGGACTCCATCGCTAGACATGGACATTTGCAAAGCTCGATCTGGGTGTCAGAAAACGTGCAAAGAAAGATCCAAGATCGACAGTAACTTTACTTTTTTGTTTTGAACAAATGTATTAAGAACACACCATCGATTTCAACTATTGGTTCAATGTTCAACTGGCTTCGAACAGTATATAAGTAAACTTACCAATAGTCGAAATGATCCCCCTGGGTGACCTTGGTAGCATGATCTGAGGATCGGCAGTCGTGAAGGTACTCAAACATGGGCTAGCTGGAAGATCCCTGATAAATGGAGGTTTCTAGTTTGGAAAATAATCTACTTATATACATATATATATACATATTATATATATAATATTATATACATGATTTTGACGTGCATATTTTTCCATTGTTCCATGTGCATCTCCATGCATCTCCATTTGCAAGTTGAAACTGAAATCCTGAAGGGTGTTGCTGGGCTGCTACTTCTCTCCGCCCTCAATTCTTACTTAACCCCACACTTTTTGGTTGCCAATCTGGGGGACATCTCAGTTTTCCGCTATCTTAGTTGAATTCACCATGCAATCAGTCAAGATAACGCTGAACTCCAAAGCACATTCTGGGCTGTCCCAGTTTCTGGTTTTGATCAAATCCAAAGCCATGGTCCCAGCGAGGTGTTCTCGCAACGTCCCGAAAAGGGACATGAACTCCATGACTTCAGCCCTGCGAAGCCTGGCGATCTGGAAAGGTCCAGATGTTCTTTAGCTGGGGGGCTAAAACACCTGTGGATTTTCATGGTGTTTTAACTTTTCTGGTCCGTTTTACGTAGGGTTTCTGGATGGGTTGGGAATGGGGTTGCTGGGATGATGACATGAAACGAATGTGATGATGGCTGGATCATTCCCGAAAATTCCCTGCGTTTTACACGCACCAGGAAGTAATGGGTTTTTCATACATGTTCATTTTTATTAAAAAATGCGTTTCCCCCCAAAACCTATCTCAGGTCTTGGAAGTCAACCCTGTATTTATACGGGGAAAACACATGTTTTCCTGATGTTTCCTGCAACATGTCCCTTAAAGAACCAACCCAAGGATCAACTTTTTATGGCTGTGCCTGAAAAGAAGGCACGTCTGAAATCCAGTGGTTTATCATCATTTTCCTTTGGACATTTATGCCATGTTCGAGATGCATGAGTTTCAGACACTGTGCTCAACACATTATATATATATATATACATACATTATGTTTAGTGGAATACTAACAGGATAGTTTTCAACTGGATGGACAGTTCGATACCACGCAATATTTTGCGATTTAGATCGGGATATAATGGGATACGTATAATTGTAATATACTAACTAGCTTGAAATTCAAGTTACTTGCAGGGTACCCAAGATTGTACCCCAGAAGATGGGAGAGGGATCAAAAAAAACAAATAAGGATAAAAAAACAAATAAGGATCAAACAAAAACAAATAGGGATCAAACAAAAAACAAAATCCTGAAAACATGAGAAAACACAAGGAAACTATCACGAAATAAAGGCAAAACCCATGGATCAAAAAAACAAAATCAGGAAAGGAAAGAAGGAAAGAAAGAAACAGGGGAAGAAAGAAAGAAAGAAAGAAAAGAAAAGAAAAGGAAAGAAAAGAAAAGAAAAGAAAGAAAGAACGAAAGAAAGAAAGAAGTAACCTTCTCTTGAAAAATGAAAGGAAAGCTTCCTTCTCTTGACCCCCCACCCGCTTTTATTTTTTACCCGGCTCCCCTTGCTACCTACTATTCTTTTTTTTCACAAGCATCATCGTTTATTTGGGTTCATTTTATCTTGATTGATATCCATCGCGACTTGTGCCTATGTACTTCTTTCTTGGTACGCATTGCGGGGGGAGGCGCTGCGCCCTCCCCCTTGCACCCCCCCACCCACTTTTATTTTTTAATCGGTTCCCCTTGCTACCCACTATTCTTTTTGTTTTTCATAAGCATCATTGGTTATTTGGGTTCATTTTATCTTTATTGATATCCATCGAGATTTGTGCCTATGTACTTCTTTCTTGGTACGCATTGCGGGGGGGAGGCGCTGCGCCCTCCCCCCAGCACCCCCCCACCCGCTTTTATTTCTTAATTGACTTCCCTTGCTACCTGCTCTCTTTCATTTTTTCATAGGTATCGTTTCTTTGGGTTCATCTTCTCTTTCTTAATCTTTATTTATATCCATCGAGACTTGAGCCTGTGTGCTTCTTTCTTGGTACGCGTTGCGGGGGGAGGCGCTGCACGCTCCCCCCTGCACCCCCCCCACCCACTTTTATTTTTTAATCAGCTTCCCTTGCTACCTACTCTATTTTTTTTAAAATATGTATCCCCATTTGTTTTTTTTGATCCTCCCTTTCCTCAGTTTCTTGACGATTTTCACTACGATCGTCCTTATTTGTTTTTTGATCCTTATTTGTTTTTTTTTGATCCCTCGATTTTGTTTTTTTTTGAGATCCGTTAGCCTCGTTGTGGTGCGTGAAGAGCCAGCGCAGCCTCCTGCTGTGCATGATGGTCAGGATTCGTTTGTCGCAGATGACGAATCCAACCAGGGGCCACATGGTGAGAACCCTGCGCCAAGTGGTGGAGCTGCTCGCTCAAGTAGATTTGTTTCTCCACGCTAGGAAGAACGCAAGTCCAGCAGTGCTGAATGAGTTAGCACCCCCACGTTGCTATTTTGGGATTGATGCGAAGGCGCGCCGCTTCAAAATGAAGTTTCGTGAGACGCCGCGCCCAAATGTCTGGGCCGGGCGTGCAGCAAATTTTTCAAGGAATTTCAGCAATAGGCCCTGGCTAGATGCCTTGAAGGAGGTTCGCAAAGAAGCATGGCAACGGTGGGAGCCTGTCAAGGACCAGAAGCTTTTTCGTTGTGACCGTCCACAAACCCCAAGTGAAACACCAGAACGCATAGCCAATGCTACCAAAGATTGTGTAGATGTTGTGCCAGAACGTGTGAAGTACTGACAGCCAAATGTTTTGACTTCAACTGCTCAATTGTCAGCAGTTTCAGTTTTCAGCTGTCAGAACTAGAAGATTACCCAATGCCCAAATCAAAAAACACTTTGCATCAGCTTGCGCAGTTGTGGGCAGTCATGTTTGCTTAATTGCTGGACACATGACAGTGAATCAAGGACACATGAAACAATGGCAGTTGGACACATGTGGACACATGAACCCATTGGACAAATGAACGAATGTTTATTTTCGCTAATGCGACATTTGTTGCGCATTCATTCGGTGCTGCTGCAGTCGTTTTATTTGTCAAGTTCAAACCGTCAGCTCACACTGTGCCATTGCTGCCGCCTGCGACGCGAAGAACGAGGCCATGCAGTCCAAACATGTGGTCATTTGCCTTTTTCCCTTTGGCATGTGGCGTGGGATTGCAGCCACCACCTGGGCCTGTCAAGAAAACCATCAGCAAGAACAAGGTGAAGTCATCTGTCGCTGCTGATGTTCGCCCAACTCCTGAGGAAGCGCAAGACCAAGAGGTTCAAGTGTCAGAACCCAGGTCCAGTGCTTCAAGTGTCACTGCTTCAAGTGTCACTGTGGCTACAGGCCAACCAGATGATGCAGAGGTGGAAGCAGAGAAGAACCAAAGGTTCGTCAAGGCAACCACATTGGAACCGCTAGATGCGCATGGCAGTGCCACTGCTGAACAGGGACTCTCATTGGCTCTGCGGCCAAAATGTTTGCAAGAACTTGTGTGAACTGCGCGTCAGGATTGTGCATGTGTGTTGTCCATGTGAAGGGATGTCAAGAGCAAACTAGTCTTGCTTTTGTTTGATTTGTGGCCAAGGTTCATCACGAGCACCTTGCGTCAGCCGGTGCGTTTGAACCATAATAATAGATGGTCAGCCAATGTTTGCAAAGCAAGTGCAACCAGATCGTTTTTGTGCGTACACACACGTGAAACTTATGCGGTACCAAGGTTGGATCGCTTTCAGTTTGAACGGCAATCCGAAACGCAGCGCGGCAGCATTCGTTGCAGTGACATTGCGTTGCTGCGTGGCATGTTTGTTTGATTTTTCATGTTTCTCCTGCCAGCGTTCCCCATGCGTCCTTGTACTGGTTGTATTTTTAGTGAAAAACCAAATAAAACAATTTAATGTACCAAAAAGTGCAATTTTGTAACAAAAAACAAACAAAATTATTTGTTCTTATTTTTTTGTAACATAATCTATTTCAGGAAAGGTACCTGATGCAGAACCCCTTGGGGCAAAGTACACAAAAATGTTGGTGGTTGGAGACAGGGGCGTGCGCCGCATGCGTTTATTTAATCTATTTGCCAAGATGTGTATATTTGATACAAACGCCGTTACGCTAATACAATGCTATAGGCTACAACTTCAAAGCCTTGCTTAAAGCAGCCGATTTGCTTCGTGATGCGCTGTCCCATTAATGTGAAGAACGCATTCTTGCGTTCAGCAGTGTCCCCGTTTATCTAACAGAGGCCTTATGGCCTGCTGTACGGGGCCACCGATAAAAAAGCGCCCTTTCACAAAACACGGCCGGCTCTGTTTGTTTGCGCAGCGCTTTCCTATAGAGCAAACCCAGGATTCAAGCTCAGGTTTAGAGGCTGAATTTGTGTTGCGTGTGTGCTCCTGATTTGTGATTTTTTGGGGCTTGATGATAGCCGGGGATTTAGGAAGAAGGGGGCTCCATCCAGATGCCATCCTCTGGCGAGCCTTGGCCCATTTCAAAATGGCGTAACCATTTGCAAACATGCCCCCGACGAATTTCGGACGGGTTTTTAGATCAACCAATTCAAATGTGAAAGATGGGACGCCCTTGGGGTTCAGTTTGGCCATTGTGATTTTTTTTGTGTTTAACGCGGCAGCTCTGAGGAGATGTCGCCAGCACGCCCCGACTCCAATGGGGACAAAGTCCCGCTGAGTCAGAAGCAGCTGCAGGCCAAAGAGGACAGCCTTTCAAAGCGTCAAGAAACAGCAGCGGGACCGTCAGCAGCTTCGGTGGGCAGACCGACGGCTCTGTTTTTGGGTGCAACGCACGGCAGCGGCGCAGGAGCCATGGGGCGACTCGCGCGCTAGGAGCTTGGCTGAGCAATTTCTCCTGGAACAATTCTTGTGCGAGCACACGGAGGCCAAGACGTTCCTTGGCCTGCAGCAAGTCAATTTCAAAAATCACAGGCAAAATTTCATTTGATTTCTCGTGATGTGTGAAGATGCTTCCCTAGTTTGAAACTTCCGGGGCGTTTCTCTTTCCTAAGATGCTGTAAAGGTTTCCGGCTGTCAGTGCTTTTGGAAGGCCCAGGTTGCTCTTGCACAGCAGAGGTTGAAAGAGTTGTGCCAGAAGAACAGGCTCCATCGCCGGCACTTTTTCAACCTCTGCATGGCCGTGTACAGGGAGAGGCTTGGCGGGTTGGTTCTTGTTTTTCCCGTTGCGTTCCTACGTCGTTGTCATGCTTCTCTTCCTTCTCCGCCTCCTCCGTCGCTCCTCCAACAACATCAACAACAACTCGGCTCAGCCCAACTCAACTCAACTTGAGACAAAAATGCAACGTGCTTAACTCAACTCAGCTCAACTTGGCTCAACTCAATCCAACTCGTTTCAAGGTAAGTTCAACTAAACACGGCTCAACCAAGCTCATGCCAACTTAACCAGAGGCAATCAACTCACTCAACTTACTCAACTTGCTTTCAGCTCAAAGCAAGCGCGTCCTCACTCGCCCAGCCTGCAGGGACTTCAGGCTGACGAATCCCGCAGCACTTGACGAGTTCCAGAAGGCGGAGGGAAGGAAGACCTGGAGCTCTGGATCAGAGGTCTCGGAGAGCCCCCTGGCTCGCAGAATGGCGCGTTTTTAACGCCCGCAGAAGGCCAGCAGAAGGCAGAAGTCTAGCTCGCCATTTCCAAAAATGCTGGCCTGAGGTCAGTGGCCACATGCAGGACGGTGGGTGCTATCAGATGGCTTAGAAAAAACCTTGCCAAGTGTATAAATCCGAGCTTGTTTAACAGAGGGACGTTGGAAAATTCAGGCGAAGGAATGAATCTTTGGACTTGCGGGTTTGCCCTAAAATCATGCCAAATCAATTGTATATTTTTTGGGCGTTGTTGATTACGAATGAGCGATTTCGGATCCTAGCTGAAGGGAGAATGAAAAGAACAGTTTTCCAGCAGACAGGACCAGCGTCCAGCAGTGGAGGCTGGCTCAATCTCAGGGCGTCCGGATTTTTCATGCTGAAGCGCTTCACCTGATCCATTTGGCATGAAGATGGTGGTTATCAGTCCAGGATGGATGACCTGATGGTGGTTTCCAGTCCAAACATGGGCAATTTTCCATGATGGGGATTCATTTGTTGGAGCTGCGGCTCAACATCGCATGACAGGCATGTGTGCTCAATCGTTCGATTTTCAAGATTCGGGTTTTGGTGACGGGAGATGATGTGTGTTGCTTCATCAAGAAATTATTGCTGAAAGAAGACGAAGGAACAATTAGGAATAAGTCCGAAAATGGTGGGGTTTTTACGCAAACATGGAAGTTTGCAGCGGCGCAGATGGGTTTTTGTCATGTTATTTTTATCATGTTTGCGACCTTTACATTAATGAAAAGCCAGAACCCCCAAACAACTGCAAATCTTTGTTTTGTATTTGGCGTCGACCTCTTCGGTGGGATTTTCTTCAAGTGGCGTCCAAACCATTGGCGGTTGAAGTAGGTGCGCATTTTGGGCTTGCAAAGGATGGCCAGGTGTCAGTCTTAGGCCCCATCAAGCCGTGCAATGATTTCAGGGTCAGGCGGCCAGTTTAAGATCCATTCACAGGATCAGAGTTGATTGCGCAAATTGCTTTGTTAGGAGTATGTCAAATATGACCCGGCCCCGGCCCAATTGGAGTTCCCTGCCAGCTTCACTGGTTGGCTGCCTTCCTTTAGCGGCAAAATCAAATGGCCAAACGTGCGTATTCAAATCCCTCCATGAAAATTGCTAGTGGGTTTTCTTATTCTTTTTGAATCTCTCCAGTAGCTGCATCATTTTGGGCGCCCATCTCATCCCCGTCTGTTTCCTCCCACCGCCGCACGCACGATCAGAAGAAGCTGACGCAGAAGATGTCCTTGGCGGAGGCCTGAGATCGTCTGAAGAAGGAAGCCGAGGAGGTGCCGTCACGGTCAGGGCAGATGGGAGGGGGGGCAATGAAGGGGAGGTGACCATGTCCTGGAGGTGCGGAGATGTGTTAAAATTCGATTGCTCTTCAAGCATATTTGGATGTTTTTCCCATGATGCCATTCGTGGCTCAATTGCAGGAGGCACAGTTTGGGTAGACAAAATACTGCGCCACATACTAGGCATCAAACATGATCTGTAATATGGCGCGCGGCCGCGTACCAACCGGTGCTGGATGGGCCGTCCATCAATGACAACGCTAGTTCACCTCAAAGTAAAATGGGTCGGACAGAGTTGATTAGGACCTAAGGTCATTTTACTTTTCGGGGAGGGATTAAAAAACAAATAAGGATCAAACAAACAAAGAAGGATCAAAAAACAAACAGGGATCAAAAAAAACAAAATCCAGAAAACATGAGAAAACATAAGGAAACTATCACGAAATAAAGGTAAGTAAAACCCATGGATCAGAAAAACAAAATCAGGAAAGGAAAGAAAGAAAGAAACAGGAAGGAAGGAAGAAAGAAAGAAAGAAAGAAAAGAAAGAAAGAAAGAAAAGAAAAAAAGAAAGAAAGGAAGGAAGGAAGGAAGAAAGAAAGAAAGAAGTAACCTTCTCTCCCCCACCCGCTTTTATTTTTTAATCGAATTCCCTTGCTACCTACTCTCTTTCGTTTTTTTTTCATATGTATCCCCATTTGTTTTTTTTTGATCCTCCCTTTCCGCAGTGTCTTGACGATTTTCACTACGATCGTCCTTATTTGTCTTTTTGATCCTTATTTGTTTTTTTTTGATCCGTTAGCCCCAGAAGATGTTGGTTTATCAGAAAGAATGGGATACTAGCTACTGTTACAAAGCAAACATGAGGATAGAACCTGCGAAGGGTTAACAGAAACTGAGACAAGTTTTTTTGAAGTGACACGTCACAACACAACAGCAGAGTGACATACCAGGGAAATTGAACTCTCGGAACAGATGGCAATATCAAGTACCTTCTGGTAATCAAACGTGGCTAGCTGGAAAAACCACCATTTATAGATGATGTTCCCAGCTACAAACCTCCATTTATAGGGAAAATCATCTATGAAGAGTCTGAAGAGTGGATTTTCCAGCTCACCACGTTTGATTTCCAGAGGGGACAGGAAAGTCATTCTAACAGCCAAGGACAGGATACGTCGGGAAGAAGAGTGTCACAGTGAAAGTCGAGGGCAAGGCCGACTGCCCCTGGTTTGCCCTGGCAACATGTTGTGATCCACTTGATGGCCCATCAGAGAAATTGTCAGCTACTTCAGGGGGTACCCGGCCTGGTAAACGTTTACAGTTTGCGAATTGAAAATGGCCCAGGCGAAATAGTGGATTTACCCATTAAAAATGGTCATTTTCAATAGCTATGTTAGTTTACCAGGGAGTAGCTTATGATGAAAGTATTTTGGACAATTATAGCTCAGGAAAACAAGAGCAGCAAAGGCGCCTGAAATTTTGACTTTCAACCTTCGACATCAGTTTCAGACCATGTAGCATTGGTGTTATTTTACAATACAACCTTGCCATCATCACTGTGATTGTGTGTAAAGTATGACGTTGCAAAATAGATACACAAAGACATTGATGGTTCAAGGTCCTCCCCTTATCGCTCTCGTGAATCTATGAATCTACTTAACCCAGATGGTGTTTAAATGTGTTTAATGGTTCATTTGCCAACCCCTGATCAATAATCAGTGGTTGATCAATTAGGACGTTCTTTCCAAAATGAATAAATCATGGCAAATGGCCACTAAACTACCCGCCAATTATGTCAACATTTCCTGAGAGTGATAGTCATGAGGACCAGACAGCCACCCCCATTTATCAACACAAGAATGCCAATCTATCTCAGTTTCTTCCTCCCTTATCCCAATTCATCTATCATTTATCCCGATTTATCCCCAACTAGAAGATAAAGAATCCCTGATATCAAGATAAATGGATAGATAAAGGCCATTGATCTATGGGATAAGATGATAGATAGATAAATGAATACATGAATAATTTACCTCGATATCTATCCCTCTATCATCCATCATAGATATGAGGTACAATTCCTGAAGCTCCATTTGACACATGGCCATCCCACAGTCGTCAAAATGGCGCTGCCCAGGACGAGGTGGTCGAAATCGACCCTGAACTCGGTCCTCTGGTGTGGACTCGTAACCTGGCCGTTCACGGTGTGCAGGAGTTGGATGTTGCTGGCAGGAGACTTGATTGGGTTATGATACTTAAATGGCTATGGATCAATACCTATACATACCATTTTTAGGAGATGAACATCCATTTACCAGCTATTTTGATGTTCACCAGGGGTACAAGGTTTTGACACACTGCCAAATGACCCATTACCCGGCCTGGGGAACGTTTACAGTGAACTTGGAAATGGCCCAGACGAAATAGTGGATTTACCCATTAACAATGGTGGTTTTCCATAGCTATGTTAGTTTACCAAAGGGTAAAAGGTGCCACACAGTGATGTATCATTGGACATGGAAAAGTTGGGAAGTCCACAAGATGGGCTTGTTTCGAGTGGGCACACTGGACAAACTGGAGCTTAAAAGTGGCCCACTGGAGCCTGATGTTGATTGATGCCTCTCCATCACCGACTGGATGGGTAGTTGTTTAACCGTTTAATCCTTATCGTTTTTTGCTCCAATGTCACTATGGTTTATGGTACGCACTTACCTATAGTCCCATAGGATCTATGTATGGTATATATGCTACATGGATCCTATGGGAGTATTCATGGGGGTTATAAACCAACTTAGCTAACGAACTGGGGCCTCATCCCGTAGGTAGAACGTAACTATTTCACCTTGCTGCAGATTCCACCTTGGTGAGTGAGGCAGTGGGATTAGATGATTAGCCGTTGCCGAAACTTCAACCAGTGTCTAACCAACTCATAGCTTTTAAAATGTTTTTGATGCACCATTTGTATGATGATAAAGGCAGTTCTAGCCACTTATAGAAAGCATAGGAACTAACCATAACTATAACTAACCATAACCAGCCACCGAATTTCCAGCCAATTTCTTTTACCAGTTACCATTGGTGGGGTCTGATCCATCACCACGGCCTCAGAAGACGGCAGCCGCTGCTTTTCGTACCTCACCACCTGCGATCCCTGCTGCTATGGTGCTGGTGGCTTTCGTAGGGGATGCCCAGGACCATCGCAGGTCCAGGGCACCCTCGAACGGTTCTGAAGGTTGCGCTTTGCGAAGTGAAACAATCACCATTTTGAATAGGCACATCCATGCACATCCTGTTTATTTATTATCCATGGGCCATGGGTTCCATAGCTATGTTAAATAACCAGAGGGTTTAGAAAAAAACACTCTTGGGGTGTAAAATTACGCCAAAATTGTAAGTCATACCTGGGGTGTTGGGAGCAAGCCTGTTATAGGTAAATGAGAACCACTTTTTGAAACAAATGCCGCTTTTATTCTTTATCTAGCCATATTTGGCCAACTTAACGTCAATTTGTGCTTTTTGGTGACAAGGAGCAACCCTGATGTGGGCATTCCAAAATCTGATGGTTATATAATCATCATTCTCCCTGAAATAGTGGCCAGTTGGGGGGTATACACCAGGAAGTATATACCATGCAGTATACACCAAAATGGGTTACCAATTATATACATATGGCCAATATGTGTTATTTTTTGGGACCTTGAAGCCTTGAACTTTTTTTGGGGGGTTAATACTTCTGATCCACACCCGATTCGGAGGTGATTTAGGATCTTCTACATCTTCGACGTAGAGCGAGAAAGCTCTGCAACATCGGATAATTTTTAAGGTTTAGCCCCAGCTGGAAGATTTACATGATCTGGTTGGTGGTTTGGATCATTTCTTATTTTTCCATTCAGTAATTTCATCATCCCAACTGACTTTCAGTCCATCATTTTTCAGAGGGGATCCGGTGAAAAACCACAACCACCAACCAGTGATGCAAGTCCTCGAATCGAAAGACTTGGGCCAAGTCCTCGTGGCCCAAGTCCTCGAACCAAGTCCTCGAGCCACGCAGTTATGGCCCTTTACCAGTTATAAGTACTGAACTAACCCCATTTATAGAATGTATAATCCCACAGAAATAACCAGTTATAACTGATAGCCATGGCCATAACTGCGGCTTCCGAGGTCAAGATAAGAACTGGTTGCATATGACCTCCACAGAACAAACCGTCCAAGTCCACCTGGCCCGGATCCCCAGTTGGGATCGCCAAGGGAATGGAATAGCGGATCCCGACGAGTCGCGACTCATCAGAGATTTCTAGATTTTTCATGGTGTTTTTTTTTATGGAAGACATATGGTTCATGATATGATCATCTATGAGATTCATATAGATACGATTTGATGTAATGTAGGAAGACGCATACAAAAAGATCATGATAATATATGTAACTACTATATTAGACATAATGATATATATGTATCTGCACAAATTATAGCGAGGACAGCCGAGGCAACGAGGCAGGTTGCAGGAATTAGCGAGGTCAGTCCTTAATTTGCTCATCAGAATTAGCCGACCTCGACGAGGTAGCCTTGCATTGGTTCTGTTGCATGCTTGGGCTTGGCTAGAAACTTTTTTGGGGGCCAGAGGCCGGTCAGCAGGCAAGGAAGGAAAAAAACATTTCAGGCCCCAAAAAGTTCTATTTTCTATCGCCAGAGGCCGGTCAGCAGGCCAGGAAGGAAAAAAAACTTTTCAGGCCCCAAAAAGTTTTATTTTCTATCGCCAGAGGCCGGTCAGCAGGCAAGGAAGGAAAAAAAACTTTTCAGGCCCCAAAAAGTTTTATTTTCTATCGCCAGAGGCCGGTCAGCAGGCAAGGAAGGAAAAAAAACTTTTCAGGCCCCAAAAAGTTTTATTTTCTATCGCCAGAGGCCGGTCAGCAGGCAAGGAAGGAAAGAAAAACTTTTCAGGCCCCAAAAAGTCTTATTTTCTATCGCTAGAGGCCGGTCAGCAGGCAAGGAAGGAAAAAAAACTTTTCAGGCCCCAAAAAGTTTTATTTTCTATCGCCAGAGGCCGGTCAGCAGGCAAGGAAGGAAAAAAAACTTTTCAGGCCCCAAAAAGTTTTATTTTCTATCGCCAGAGGCCGGTCAGCAGGCAAGGAAGGAAAAAAAAACTTTTCAGGCCCCAAAAAGTTTTATTTTCTATCGCCAGAGGCCAGTCAGCAGGCAAGGAAGGAAAAAAACTTTTCAGGCCCCAAAAAGTTTTATTTTCTATCGCCAGAGGCCGGTCAGCAGGCAAGGAAGGAAAAACAACTTTTCAGGCCCCAAAAAGTTTTATTTTCTATCGCCAGAGGCCGGTCAGCAGGCAAGGAAGGAAAGAAAAACTTTTCAGGCCCCAAAAAGTTTTATTTTCTATCGCCAGAGGCCCGCTTCGTGGGTTGACGGCTGCAGAAGCAGTAAAATTCAGAGCTGCTCCAGAAGAGCATTGCATCTCTGCGATAATGTCAGAGATGTCACCACCCAAGCGCAAGAAGCGCAAAGACCGATCAGACTCAGATTTAAAAATCCCTGCAAGAGACCGTGGATCGTGGAAAAAAACTTTTCGGAAGCTGAAAAGTTATTTTCCCTTGGGGTTGGACCCTGGAAAGAAGGCCCACAAGCTACTTTCTTCCTTCGAATTAACGAGGTAAAGCCTTAATTTGCACCTGCAAATTAACGAACGAGGACAGTAATCACGGGGAACAAATTAAGACACGAGGGAGACGAGGTAAGAATTAAATTAATTTGGCCAGATGTATATATTTAATAGATATACAGACCACATTGCCTCACTATATCATAGATATATCATATGATGTTTCGTCGTGTAGCATGATGTAGGGGTCTGCCTCGGTCTAACTTAGGTTGCCAAGATGAACAAACGACGAAGGGACCGCGAGATGTTTTTGTTTGGGAAAAACCAGGGCCGGAGATGGTTTGACAGGAAAATGAAGGTATACTCATAGAATTGGATGATGGGAAAATTTAGAGGAAAGCCCTATATTTGATGGTAAAAACCATGGTTTCCTGTAGATTTTCCCTTAAACCAATCCAGTGATATACGGTATATCTCCCAAACATTTTTTTCTTTTCTCTTTTGGTGAACGCCATGATTTCACCAATGGATTTTGGGCTTATCTACAAACTCATTGGTTTTCCTATACTGTTTTTTTCCCAGCCTACCTGGGAAAAAATCTGCAATCCTCAGTGGGTTAAACTGGGTCAGTTTCTAAGGCTCCAATGGAGCCATAGATGGGGATTCTCTAGGCAAGATCGATATTTTTCATTGGTTCATGCAGTTATTGTTCATTGGTTAATGCGGGGTACAGCATATGAGTGACACCAGGAATGATTGGTACTTTCAAGTGACTTTTGCTTTCCGAAATGTCCCCATTGACATTTCAGATTTTGATTGGATGGGCTGAAAGAGCGGATTTAGGTAGACATCTTTGATTCCTGAAGGGTAATACTCCGCCCAGAATTTGCCCGGTTATGTCCCCAATGATAGTTAAACCGTTGTTGAAGCTACATTTTTGCGAAGTTTTCCGTGACATCCCTCAGTGTCTTCATAATGACCCGTTTTTGCATCTGGATCTGATGCAAAATCATAGCCCCCAGGACCTTTTTGCTCTCGGATGATTTCAGACACAGCGTTCATGGAGAAAGATTCGGGCTGATGAAACCGATGTGGATATCTTGAAACCCTAAAAAAGAGGGAACAAGTACCCTCTGGTAAACATACAAAAAACCATGGAAAATCACCATCCTGAATAGGTAAATCAACGAACTTTCTATGGGCCATTTTCAATAGCTTTGTAACGAATTACCAGAGGGTACCACCGCTTGAACATGCTTGAACCGTATTTTACCCTCTGGTAAACTAACATAACTATGGAAAATCACCATTTTTAATGGGAAAACTCACTATAAATTGCAATTTTCAATAGCTATGTTAAATTACCAGAGGGTACTTGTCTATATTTGACTGCCAAGCGTACAGACATATACATGCACAATCATGTACAAAATGGGCTAGGGGACAATTAAATCCCATGTGGTAGGTGACTAACATCGACCAAGTCTAGGATATGTATATATAATATATTATGATATATTATTGATATTATATATATATTATCATGTATAATATTATACATATATAACACATGTATATATAATACATACATATATATATATATATTACATATATATATAATACATATATATAATACATATATATATATAATATATATAATATATATATTACATATATATATATATGACACATATATATATATATATATATATTACATATATATCTAATACATATATATATATATTTATGACACACACATATATATATGACACATATATATATATATACATATATATATATGTATACCATGTATTACCATGTAAAGACATACATACATTGTATATGTGGTTACAACCCCAATTAGGTGAAAAACGAAATATGATGAAGCATTTTTGTGACAGTCCAAGACGCTGGACTTTGAAGAAACCAATTGGTGAGCCCCAACATGGTGTGAGATATTGCATCTCAGCAAAATCCACAAGTCGAAGTGAATCTGTCCAAACCTAACATATTTACGGGTCAAAACCATGGTTTTGTGTAGATTTTCGGAATGTTTGCCATTCCGTAAAGTTTCGGAATCGCCAGACTTCTTCTGGGATGACCCTCTGGTAATTCAACAGGGCATAGCTGTAGAAAGCCACCATTTTGCCATTCGTGGTAAATCACCAGCCGACAATATCATTATATTTCATTAATAATAAATAGTAGAATATATATATATATACATATATATACATATACATATACATATATACATATATATACACATATAAATACATATACACATATATACACATATGTACATATATACATATATACACATATACACATATACAAAATATATACATATATACATATATACATATATACATATATACATATATACACATATATACATATATACACATATGTACATATATACACATATACACATATACGTATATACATATACACATATATACATATATACATATATACATTTACACATATACACATATACACATATACACATATACACATACATATATATATATATATGTACGCATACATATATCCACAATCAATATTAATAATTCTTACCCATTGATAGTTTAATCATGTCCAGTCACATGATTGCCATCCCACTGCGCTGGCCCATTCTTGGATCACTAGTCCGATGTGCCGAACTCGGTCTCCGGCGATCTCAATTTCCGTTGGGGTCGTCGGCATGGTCAAATTCCCCACGCTCGCAGGGGCCGCAGGGGTGCTCTTTTGGTGATTTTTTTGATGCGGATGGGATTGTGAGTGGCGATACTGAGATACATTGAGATACCAATGATAACGGTACCATGTTTTGTAAAGTCAATGGGAATTTCAGGATCCTAAAATGGAGGTACTGTACCATATAAAACCATATTTAGCGGGGAATTTCCCTCACATAGCCCTTACACAGGCATGATATATTGTAGCTCCAATTTAGGTTCCTGAAATGGCCATTGATAAAAGGGGGGAATTGGGAATGACCCCCAAGGGGAGGCAAGGTGTTTGAGGTGTTTGGGTGGTCACATGCTGTATGGACATGGGATTGCTTCAGCAAACGGCCAGTTGATCGAGCCAAAAAGATATCTACCACGGGCCCAGTTGTTCTGTCCCCATTTGATAATGTCTTTCGCCGAGGAGACCAAGAGATTTTGAATATTTTTCGGATTATTTTTGAGTATTCAACCATCCATTGTGTACCTAATATTGACCCATATATATATATTATATTTGCCATGAAGGCAGTCTAAACGATGATCCGATGATCCTTGTTTACATCCTGATTTTTTTTTCAAAACTTGAGGAGCCTCAAAAGGGTTTTGACAGGTTTTCTTTAAGGTGTCTGGGAAGTAGACCGGTTTTATCCAATGGTTAGTCGGTTAGTCTGATTTTGAATTCACCATCAAAAGGCTTGAGATGAATGAGAACAGTATGACCCTCTGGTCATTTGACATTGCTACCGAGAATCCCAAATTTCCTTCGATGATTTTTCCGTTAACACATCCATTACACCTCCATTTGTAGAGGATTTCCGAGCTAGCCATGTGATATTTGTGAAGGGCGCGCTCAAAAAATGTGGCTTCAGAAGGGCGCTGTCCTTGTCCCACTACTTGGTTGATCGAAGGTTCCCTCCATTCAATAACCAATATAGGTAGATTCTACCCTCTGGTTATGACTAACATAGCCATGGTATAGATGGCCCATAGAAATAGATGGTTTACCGAACTAAAAAATGGTGGATCTTTCCATGGCTATGTTAGTCATAACCAGATGGTAATCATAATTAGATTCAATCGAACTGGTCCGGCTCTAATTTTTCTAAAAAGGACTAAGAATTGGGGTTCACCAGCACGAATCTCGTTATTCACTAGGGTTTTTAACCACTCACCAAGTGGAGGTTTCCTGAAATGTGGAACCCTGAAATCCACGATCCACTTTAGATTGGGGATTTCCACTATATCAATGGCCATGACTCAGGATCCGATTCATTGGAGGTACCTACCATATATAAGGCCTATTTTTGAGGCCTATATAAGGCCTATGTAAGGGAATATGTAAGGCCTATCTAAGGGAATATCCCCACAATTCATATGGCCAAAAATATGGTACGTTTACGTACCTCCACGTATTGGATCCTGGATTTCTGCAATTTCCCATTGACGGTTCAACCATCCAGCTATTAGGGGGGTACCCCCATCGAGACCTCCAAGTGGCATCAGCAAGGCTTTACTACTACTGCTGCTGCGCTCCATCGTAGCCGAACATGTCGTGCGGTGGCCGAGAGCGATTTTTTTCGTCAAAAAACAATTGACATCTCAAATTTCTATATTCGATGGTTTCCATTTCTAACTTCTTCTTCAAGCCATGATTTTGACATCCCCGAATTTTCTCTCCATTTTTCCGTGATTTCCCAGAATTTTCTAAGAGTTGTACCCTTTCACACATGGTTTTCCCATGAAAGTTGTGCGGATTTTCCAGTCCAGGAACCTCAATTTGCCACAGCTGCAAGCCTTCTGGCCATCGCCTGGGCCTTGGAGTTTGGAGGAATGATTTTTTGAAATGATTTAGAACCTGGATTTTGTGCTTTTTTGGTAGTATTTTGGTAGTTCCATGGAGTTTTTTTTTGATGATTGTTGAGGTGTTTTTGGTGTTTTTTAGATGATTTCCAGTGATTCTTGACGTTTTATGATTGTGATTGATATTTGATGACTCTTACATGCACTTAACATGTACTTGAAATAGAATGTTTGATGTTTGAAGATCCAATACATTTTCTGAGTATATACTCTGCAAGTACGAAACTCTTCAGTCGACGGTATGATATACTTTCGCAGGTGGAGACGATGGTGTAAGTCGTACGAATTTACCAGGGTTACTCTGTCGGAAAGGCGGTAAAGGGATGTGGATTTCGTTGATTTATGATGATTTATGTCTTCTTTGTTCAAGCTTTTAGATACTATGACATTACTATGAGGCCCACAAATGGCCTAAAGCCATGGAAGACCCAAGGGAAGACATCCTTTTGAAAGCCACAAATCCGAAGTCGCGAACATGTATATGGAAATTTTAAGGATTCCAACATAAAACTGATTGAACAGTGTCGTTTGAAAGAGATTTGTTGTCAATACATACATATCTACTTGGCATGACATATAGATTATCATATGGTGGTAAACAAAATAATAAAGCATCCCCCAAATTACCATAAATGGGTCGTAAATACAATCCCCAAATGATAAGTTTATTATGGGCTTGCCCACATTATCCCAATTGACTATAGCATTTGTCTACTTGAGCAACAGAGCAACAACTCCTCCCCTCAGCTACTCTGGCATCGCAAAAGAAAACCTGCCCGGCAGTAGACGACCCAATCACATGTAGACCGGATTATAGCTACCCATGTTCCTAGGGGCATAATTACATGTCTCCCTCTGTCTCTATGACATATATGGATATATATGGGACCTGGTTGCGTTGCAGTTAAGTCATGAAAACAAGTATATACTTGACTTGGTGGCTCATCCCACTTAGTAAGTGGGTTAGTTGACCCCAGTTATAAGTGGATTAACCCTACAAAAATCCCATTTATAACTGGGGTGAACTAACCCACAACCACGATTCGTGGGTAGTTCGCCACCAAGTAGTTCGGATCCATCGTATCCATTGTAGTCAATTTTTTTGCAACACATAGACAACGACAGCCTCGCTAATACGTATATCCGTTCATATCATCCCTACCCTCTGGTTATGTCAAACATAGCGAACTGGAAAATGGTCAGTTATAGTGGATTTTCCCATTAAAAATGGTGATTTTCAATAGCTATGTTAAATTACCAGAGGGTAATATCAACCCCATCTAGACTCCAAGAGAGATTGGGGTCCATTTGGCTTTGTCTGAAAGGGAAACGCATCAAATCATACACAATCCACTCTGGTTGGTGGTTTGGAACATTTTTTATTTTTCCCATTAGTTGGGATGATGATCGAATCTGAGTTTCATATTTTTTCAGAGGGGTAGGGCTCAACCACCAACCAGCACGAAAGAACCACTTACAGATTTCACA